AATAGTCCAGTTTTCACTAGATAACGGATTTTCTCATCATCTCTTCCTGCTGTAACTATTCTATTTATTGGCGCACATTCTATCAAGCTGGTCCATCAGATGAATGACACTAATTAACTCAACGAAAAGATACATGCAATTAGCCATTCATTATGCTCCACACTGTTTATTCTATCGCAACGTAGGCCTTACAGACTGTGTCAATGAACCTCGCAAACACAATATCTTCATGCCTCCATCCTGCTGAACTTTCAAGAAGTATCAATGCATTCGAGCATCAAAGCAATCTTCGATCACTAATTAGGACCCGCGCCAAATGAGTTCGCCATTCTAGTAGAGCGGCGAACAGTCGCTCGCAATTAGGCGGTTCCTGCCACATTATAATTGACATTTACGGGGAACGTTGATACCGGAGAAGGGTCATTTAAACGTCATCCCACGGAGCAGTCGTTGTGTACGTGTGTGAGGACGCTTTTGGGTCGCTGCGAGCCTCGTTTAGTTACCACCAGGGGGGGACGTTATAAATTGGGTGTCGCGTTGCCCTGTTTGTCACTTCGTTTTGCGTCACGATTTATTTAGAGTCTGTTTTTTTTTTAATTTGGGTGGCGATCGGACAAATTGTCCTAATATGTTTTGCAGTAATTTAGTTCGAAAAAAGGCTGAACGGGGAGTTTCGTTGCACAACATGTACGACATAGAAATGCGATGCTGAAAGGGGGGAGGAAAACTCCCGACTTTTCATACATAATATTTTGTTTCCTTACGTTTTGCCACTCCAGAAAATTATTAATTGTTGGTGCACATACATAAAAACTGAGCACATACGTGAAAGTTATATGATATAAAAGTTCCCTTAAACATCTTAATAATTTTTATTAAACAATTTTTCGTAAATCGAATACCTTAAAATACCTTAGAATATACCATATGCTATTTTTTTCTACGACCCTTAGTTTTTGGGTACTTTTTTGCAAAATAACACGAATACATTCATTGACATTGATATCCAATTGTTGCCATACCCCCGTGCGGTTCCCAGAAATGTGCGAAGTGACTCGGATCCGCGGGAAAAGAAACGGACGTTGTAAAATGACATTTTCTGCACGTTAGATCGGTATATAATTAGGTATTTTGCATTGATTTAATGAAACAAAACTCCGTCTTGGATTGCAAACTAGATTAACGGACACCACCTTTTGGTTCAATGCCTCGCATCTTTTTAGATGCGCGAACGTCATTTTATATGATAATTTTAAATTGAAATACGTATTTAACATAAACCTCTTGTTTTTTGATAAAAAAAAAAACAATCCTTTGACCTGTCGAATGTAATTTTCATTTTTGGTCGTAGACACACCGCCAACTTGTTAAAAAAAAATATGTTGTTATAAATATTAAAATTTTTAAAAAATTGTATACCTAAATATTTAAAGACATGGACGTGTTAGAAGTGTATATTGTGTACAGAAAAAATTGCAGAATCAATATAGGAGAGCGAGGGGTAACAGCGAACACTTAAAAAAATCATAACTTTGAAACTGTTGATAGTACAATCATGTTTCTAAAGTATATTCTAGTAATTGGAACAGTCCAGATTAAAAAAAAAAATAAGTCAAAAGAATTTATCAAAAATATACTGCAAATTCCTCATTACCCAAACTTTGCGGGCAATGCCGTACATCTATAGAAACAAAATATAACAGAACCTTATTTTAATATGAACAAAAATCACAAATGTAGTCTTTTGGTGTTGCGACGCCACTGCAAAGCTTGTGCATCCAACCACCATATGCAATAAAACGATACCAAATTTCGTCTTTACCGATTTCTCAGTATACCAGAGACTCTTGTCCTTCATTATGTTCTGGCTCTATCTTTTTTAAATCCATATCATCTAATTCGTCATCATCACATACGTTTTTCTCATTTATATCATCTTCGCCTTCACTACTGAGTTAAACACTTGTCTAATAACCGTTTTTTTTTGTATGTACTTATCTTCTTTGTGTACTTTTTTACCTCTTTTTTCTTTTTCTTCTTTTATCAGCTTTTTCTTTTGTTTCTCTTTCAATACCGACTTCAAAGGTATAGGACGTAAGGATTTCTGATATTTGTTTTGAGCGTTGTCCTTGTTGTTTTCGGTTATTTGGGTTGTCGGTAGCAAAGGTATAATTTCATTAAAGGAGTTATTATAAATATTATTGTCACCGGATTCAATAATCGCCACTATCGGTTCATTCAGGGAAACAAAAAAGTCTTCCTTACGAAATACACCAGGATTAATTACAAAAATCCCAGCCTTTTCAAAACCCTTTATGGATTTTTTTGCAGTATAGACTGAAATATAGGCTTTGGTAAATATACTGTTAATATCAGTCATGAAAGTAATTTTATATAGCCTCGATTTAAAAAATAAGTCACATTCGTTACCGTACGCTTTTTTAAGGGAGGAATAAAATGTCAACTCCAGTGGCTGAATACGATGGGACGTGTGTGGTGGTATTGACAACATATGAATTCCATTGTCCTTAGAAAATTCGTAGATTTGTAATGATATGTGACTTGTATGATTGTCGAGAATCAAAGGAACAGGATTTTCTTTTGTATTGTTATTTGTTTTGCAAAAATGTTTCAACCAGAAATACATCTTCCGTCATCCAACCGCTCTTAGTAGATGTGTAAATAGAACCTGGTGGGCCATTCCGTTCCAAAGACGGTGTCATCCTCATTCCAGGGTAAATAAATAAAGGTGGGGTAAATGAACCATTGGCACTCATACAAGTATAATATTTTTTTTCTTTTGTTATAGCTCCAAATTGCTTTTGCTCTTTTTTCTCAATGATTTGAGGCGAGCTGTTAACGGTAGTGATTCCCCTTTCATCGGCGTTGAATATGCGAGTTGGAGAAAACTGAAAACTGACCATCAAGTTTTGAAGATTTTTAAAAAATCTGTTGATTTCTTCTTGGTTAAAGGCTTGAATTCTATTAATACTTGTCGCTTCCTTCCTACCCGTTAAAATTCCTAAAATATTTGGGATAATTGTAACAAATGGTCAAAAATCTCCTGCTCTTTTTCTTCAGAGAATATGGTACGGACCACCATCCTTGGCTTGTAGTATCTTCCCTTTTTAACTCTTTCATAAAGGCATGTTACACGTACATCAATACGTCGCGCAGGCCACCACCATTTTGAACAGCATTTATTGTAGACACCATATTTTCTCCTGTCCAACAACAGTTGACAGTTCTTCTTTTATGTTTTCTCGGCGTCTAAAGTAAACAAAATAACGTGATTAGCTGTATGTAATTTAATAAAATAACTTTATTGTGCACGAAAATGCATTCAGGGTAATACCGAACAACTGTTTCGCGTATGGGTAATGCCGAACAACTGCAAAATGCGAAAATGCATCTCAGATTTTTTTGTAGATAAGAATTTATATAAAATTATAATATTTGAAAAAATTATTATACGAATGGTTAGATAAGACCTAGACAATCATATCGGTTGCTAATTTTGAAAAAAATATTAAGTTTCGTTATTAATTTGCCTTAATATTGCAAGTAAAAACTTATGCCATTACTTTTACAACAGGCCACTTAGATCCATTTCCGATCGATTTGTTAACTTTTAATACAGTTTCCTACCATACCACACTATTTTTGGTTGTCAATAGCTCTCAGCACAAGACATAAACAGGTGTTCGGCATTATCCGCTATTCGGAATTACCCCTCGCTCCCCTGCGTATTAAAAAATTCCTGAAAGTACTTTAAACAAAATGGCGATGATGATTTTAATCTAGTGTGTGTCTTAAGACGAAATTTTATGTCATAAAATCGTGAAAATGTAAATTATGCCAATAAGTAAGTCATTTTCAATTTTTAGTGAATATTGTACACAAGCGTTTATAATATACTATTGCATTGGTACAGTAGACTAAAAGTAAAGAAGATAGCGATAGTGAGCACTTAATTTTGTATATCATGTATGTAAGAATATTGCTAATATCTCATGACTTTCATGGTAGAAGATTATTGACTAATATAAAAAATTTATATAAATCCATTCAACCGACTAGTTTCTGCAACAAAACTATTGCCTTCCCATCATTGATACAAAATCGACGGTTCTGTTTTTATTTTAGGGACAATGTTGTCAGTGCTGGATATCGCCGGAATTTTTACGCCATACACCATACATGGAATAAAATTTTGTCTTACAAAGATTTTGTTAAACATTACCCATTAAAAAACAAATAGTTCTTTTTTTAACGATAGCGATATGGTTAGGCCAATTAAGGCAAGTTTTGCTTATTTTTTGTGTGAAAGTGAAAAAGTTTCTGGATATTATTGCTACTAAGACTGAAAGAGAAAATGATGCAATAACATGAAGTTTGAACTGAAGTTATCAGTTTGAATTCCGACGTGTCATTTCATGTGTATACAAACAAATCGAGGGCGTGTTTCATAGGCGGGTATATTTTTGTCGTGTTTTGTGTATTTATGCTTAGTAATATTTATTCTAGAGTTCCATTATCACTAGAAGTGTGTCAATTGTCTATAATGTAACTGTTAATAATGTAATTAAAAAATGTTTCATATTGTTACGTTATAATCTCACAGGCGAATGAGGCGAATGATTTATTTCCCCTCTCGGGAATTTTCTCCCACGTTACGTAGTTTATTATTTTATGAATGACTTATTCGGTCTCTTTTAGTTGGACGTCTGAGCTTCCCATCGATGAGAATAATTCAAATGTAACAACAAATTAAACTCGTATTCATTGTATAAACGTCCATGATGAAACCTTCTATAACAAAAGCCGATTGAAATTATTATTCTCGAATACCGTCGAAATTCGCAGCCATTTTCCCAGCACGATGAAAACTATTTGCAAAGTTTATCAATTCGTGCGCAACTCCATCAGATTTCTCGACTTTCCACCTTTTATCTCGGCAACAACTGCCATTTGATCTCGTCTACTAATTACTAACTCACTTGTAAACTCCTTCTGGGCTTGTGCTAGCAAAGAGGCAAATACGTGGCTGTCTACGGGCCTCGGGGTTATCTCCTCTTCGCTGGAACTGTATCCACGTTCGTTTCTCCATTCCAAGCTGCGTTGTCGCCGCATGCCCGCCAACTCTTTGCTCGCAGACTTCCCCTTTCTGCTCCACGAACCGCCGCCGCTACTCGCTTTACTCATTTTCGGTCCATCTGTAAACAACGTCATTTAAATTTGCTTTGATAGTTGGAAAAGCAAACGGCCGCTGTTTGATTAACAAACTATCAATGTTTAACAATCCGTCGATTTGATTTCTTTCAAGTTTCGAACGTCCCGAAGAAAGGATACCTTTCTGTGCGCGGCGGCACGTTTATTACGAGATGACACTTCATACCATTGGATGGACATAAGATTGACCTTATTATTCCCATTATGTCTATAAACATCAGTATAATCAATTACAATGCTGATAGTGACAAAAGAATTCAATTAACTTGAATTGTGTAAATAATTTTATAAAATCATATGAAATTTTGATTTTATAACACCAAATATAGTATGGATATAATAAAAAGTTACCTGATACATTTCCCCTGGTAATTTTTTTCTGAAACTAGAGATGATGATTCTTGCAAACTGCTTATAATAATTTATTCAGCAAAGCTGTTGACACTTGTTTTTTTTTTTTTTTGGTAACTGACTGATTGCAATCTTCATAATAATATCCATATCCAAAAATTTTTTTTTTCTTATTTCTTCAAATTGTCAACAGTTAACTTAAAGAATTTAAAAATATTATATTGTTATGTATACATGTTCTGACATATTTTGAATTCTATGTGACCAGCAACTAAATATATTTATCGATTTTTCCGACTGAAACCTTTTGTTATATAAGAATGGTTAATTTCCTTATAGAAGAAAAAGTTAGTAATTTTTTATTGTTACCGTTATTTTAACACATCCAAATGATCTCATCTGTATGCCACGTTTTTCTAAAAACAAAATAGATAATGGAGGAAATAATTATCTTCAATAAAACAAATTAAGAAGATAGTTTGATATTGATTATTAACATTATATTTACAATATTTGGAATGTGAAACGGTTCTATTGCCTAACTCTTTTTTTTTCTATAATAATAATAATAATATACTTTATTCAGGTAAGTTCGACAGGGGAAATTACAAGAAAAGGCAAGAGTGCAGCGCCCAGACGTGTCTGCTTGCTGATTTCTACAATTATTAGTTTTACAGTGTTAGTTGTGTGTTTGAAAAAATTTGTTTTCAGAAATTAAGCAAAATCGCATTACCTTTGCTTAAATAGTTTAATGGCATGGTTTTTAGGATATGCAAAAAAAGATCACCGACAATAAATAGTACGTGTCCTTTCTGTAGTGCTCCATTGTTTTTCTCTGCCATGTTTCGACGTCATCTTTTTCATTTAATCTATGTATAGCATTTTTATTTCTTATATTTGCACAGCTACAACTTTTTGAAAAGGACTACCTTATGGAGAGGCACTCCTGTTAAACACTAAATACAATAAAATTAGAAAAATACTTCCATTTGAAAACAAAGATTTATAACGATTTTTTCATTTTAATTTTTAATGTTACTTCTGATTCACCCTTATTTATTTATTTTTAAAATATCAATGCATACCACGAAATAGATAACTAGTAGATCTTCTATAAGGAAATCGACTCCCCAATATAGCACAAATACTTTCACGCGGAGAAATTGTCAGATATATTAAGATCCCAAACACCATTGAAAATGTCAGGAACGGCAAGGCTTATTTAGAAAAATCTACGGAAGTGAAAAATGCCCTAATATATGGTGTTCTATATAAAATGAAAAAGTTGTTACTTGTCTTCGAATATACAAACAAACATTCTGTATATGAGGTAAATAAAGCATAAAATATAAGTGAACCAAAACCACTTTTGCCTGTAAGTTTTTTTGATATTTTCTGCCCTAAGCTATCATTAGCATTTAGGCAACATGGTATTCATTTTTAAATTCTACAAAAGAAATTGATTATCAAGAAAAAAAAGAGTAATTTACAGTCCTGGAAAATGTTAAGAGACAGAAAAACGCAGCTGCTTAATGTAATGAAAGAAAGGAATTAATTCAAATTATTTATAAAACATCATATCCAACCTCCAGGATTTATTTTACATTAAAAAGGATCTGCCAATATTTGCAAACTGCTTAAAAGTAGCGGAAATTAATATTTATTTCCTATTATTCATATTATTAATTGATTCTACTTTTCTAATGCTCTTAAAAAACAAAGAATAGACAGTAGATTATTTCTGCGTTTCTCAATTTGTTATTCTCAATTATTTACTGAATGTTAAACAAAATAATAGATGAAAAAACAAAACGTTGGACGTTTTAATAAAAAAGGAATCTAATGCTCTATATCTTTATTTGACACATTTTCTGTTGCTGGCTGGTCTTGACGTTAAAGAATGAGTGATTGAAGATGTTTATCACCGTGTTACATACCATGTTACATACGATCATTATGAATATTTTTGCAAAACACCACAAATATATTCACTGCATGACGTGTGAATTCACTGTCAGACTTAACATACCAAATCACTCCGAAACTAGTAACTAAAGCATAGGTAAGGAAGAGGCACCAGATTTTATACAACCGTAAGATTTCACAGATTTCATGGATGTCACAATGATTTAACATATTTCTAGATAATTTACGGATTTCGTCTATTTTGAATATTAACTTTTATGATATGTGGAAAATTTTTGTATATCGCCGTCATTAAAAAACTATGAAAATAAAAAATATATACAAAACTTTCTGTTAAAACATCTCTTCAAAAAGTAGGAAAGGCAGGGGCAGTGTTAAATTAATAAATACAAATTTTATAAATTCTATAAATTTTCAAAACGGACGGAAATATTTTAGAAATTATCTTGAAGATTTAGTCCTATTTTTTTTTTAGTTTACATAATATGGCAATACTGACGACAATTGGACACCCAAGACGTGCTTGTGTTGTATCTTATAATCCATAAATATTTAGAAAAAATACTTCATACATTGTAGTTATTTATATGTATAGCATAAAAGAATGGGAATTATTAATATAAAAAATTAGCTACTAATAATTTTGATTGTATGTAAATATACTTAAGAAAATATATAAAAATATATGTTAAGATCAATTCATAATTAAATAGAATTCTTCTTTTAAACATAAATATGAAAAAGCACAAAACATGAATAGGTAAGCAGAGGTAAATTTATAAATAAAATAGAAGCACCTTATTTCAAAACAATGAAAACTGCGAGACTAGATGCTGACAATGAAGAATTATGAGATTTTCTACGCCATTAAACAATGCATGTTATTTAATTAATTGATTTAATTAATTTAATGGGAAATGTTCAAAACCCTAGCAAAATTTTAGACATACGTTATAATACCACAAAAGTAGCACACATTTCATAGAGCTAGTACACCAGATATGACTCTATTTACCGTTTGATCAGAGCGTGATGGGTATTTTTTAGGTAGGGAGTAGAAAAAAAGTATTTATGGCTGTCACTCGCGAGTAAAAAATTGAACACGTTTTCTTAGATTTCTCGAAGATGTTAAGTAGCATTCAGCGAAAATAGTAGAATAGAAAAATTAATTCGAATTAACGACTAATTAAAAGTGCTTCATAACTAGGCTTAATAGAATAGAGAACCTCGTCAGGGAACAATTTCCCATGACGGAATTCCTCTTCTCCGCGTACAATGGAATTCCACCGAAAAATAAGCCTTCAAGATTTCGTCGCGATAGTTTATGCCCGCTTAAATTTCTTAGATATTAGGAGAGCTCGGGAACTGGGAATGTGCCCGATTCTTTGTTATATGAGAACCGAGGAATTTCTTCTTGGGCGCGCTTGGCGGGCCGTTTCATGTCTTCGTTTGCTTTAATTTGACAATAAAACAGTGCGGGATTATATTGCGAAACATAGATTACTGCGGGAGCGAAGCTACAGCGTTTTCCGGTCGGATGCGCCACAGTACAATAACGCAATAACGGGTAACGCGATATGCCAGAGAAAATATTCGATTTACTCGAACAAGAACGGGCACCGAGAACACCAGGAATATTGAAATACAAATTGCTAGATTTTGAAATATCACGTGGTGTGAACATATCTAAAGAATTTTTTCTCTTAGTTTCGAAAACGTACATATTCCATTTTCTCTAACTGGGGTCAAGCACAAATTAATAAACAGCCACACCTGATTGATCGATTTTTATCATCAAATGTTTTATTAGCATTTCAAATCACCAATTTTTTAAACCGATCGATGGCTTTTCAAAAAGTAAGCGGCAATTAATGGGGATATTTAATAGCTCTTTCAATTGGCACTTGGCAACTTTTCAGCATCGATAGATAAATAAATCTTATCTTATAATGAATTCCCGAAACTTTAATTTTCACGAAAAACTGAGAGCCTAGCATGCATCTCCGTTTTTTAAAATGCTTTTCTGTTAGTTAATATAATTGTACAGAATTTAATAACTATAGAAAGCCGTAGATGCCGCTGAGATGCCTGTATTTATGTTCGCCATTCCAATTCTGATGAGTAAGAAATATTTTTTAAATTTTCTATTAGCCTATATTTATTATAAATATCGGATGTATGAGGTCGAATGAGAACCATATTTCGATCCACAAAATAAAAAATTTACGAAAATACTAACAATCTATAGTAACTCACTATGGTAATAGATTGAACTCATGTTACTAATCGATTAATAACTTATCTGAACAGTTGTTATCCTTATTTGCTATCCTGATAAAAGCTATTTTTCATGTGTGTAATTCTGTTATTTAAAAAAAACTCATGTTTTTACTTATTTTTTGACTTGTACTATTTTAAATTATTGCCTAACTATTGTCTTTTACAACGGACACTAAATGTAAAAATAAATTTGGATTTATCCATTTAACTTGTTGGTGCTATTTTGAAACAAAATAACAATACTATATTATCCAACAAGTGTGGTAAACGGCGTTTAACGAGTGACTTAAAAAGTTTACCAAATGTATTGCATACTCTACTCTTTAGACGACTGCTAGTTTTTGGGTACATTTTTGTAAAAGAACACGAATACATTCACTGACAACACTGTCAGACTTGACAAAAGGCAAAATTCAAGCCGGGCGGT